ACATGCATACGCTCGGCCATACATAATGAAATCTTTTGGAAAGGCAAACGCACAAAAGTATGCTACAGTTCTTGCAGACACACTCAGCCGCACACTAATGAACACACTTTCGCCCAGACACACACTCGTGCAGGCACACACTCACACGAGCTAACAATTCCTGTGGCTTATGCGCATATTGTGCAATTTTATGTAGAATACTTTGAGGAGCATAAAACGCTGCTAAGGCAGCATGAGAACGAGATGAAATTTTACTCCTCACCCTCCGCACCGGCGAAACCCCTAAAAAAACGCCCTCCTTCCCACCCCTCACCCTAGCTCTTTTGGCATTTGTTTAACTGCGCCACATTTTACGGCATTAACCCAAATTAGCTCTTAACATAAAACTCATTTTCCAGGGGTTTGGGTCGCATTCCTCCTCCCATTCCGCCACAACCCCTTGCTGGCTTATTTTAAATATGAAAACAATATTTAGTTAGGCAAAATTCATCGAGTTTGCTGTGCGTAAGCTTTGGCATGACATTAATCAAATGATATTTTGATTATCATGCAAGTGAATTAATTATGGTTGCTATCTTTTCCCCAAAAGGACCTCCCTCGCCTCTGTTAACTGTTTTGGGAACCCACCACCTCGAAAGGACATTTTGGTAACCTTTCCACAATAATTTTTATTGATGACTGGCCTTGGGTTCAATGACTGAGTAGGTTAAAGTTCAGCCGCAAACTCCATTTTCCAATATTCCATCCTGTCCTGACCACGCCCAATTACGCCTATGTGCTATTATCTGCTTCTACTTTTGTTTCCCCATAGTCTTTTTTTCATGTAATGCTTATTGATTTTATGGCTGAAGCGGAAACGGAATATTTCGGAAGTTTTTATGTGAAGATATAAATGATTTTTATATTTTTAGACTTTGAAAGTCTTTCAAGATTTATCTGAACTCTAGATGTTACAATTCTTGGTACATTTAAATTTCATTCAAAGACTCAATTACCTGATAAAATATTATTTCATTTTTATTTTATCTTTCAGTTTGTTGTCTGCGTTTGTTCTTTTTATGTAAATTATCGACCGCATTCAAGGGACTCGTGTCTGCAGGACAGGACGAAAAAATTTCAGCTGTGGTCCTTTGTCATACACAGGAATTAATTAAATTTTGAAAGAACTAAGGTCCAGAAATATTATACAAAGGTAGTACATTTTTTAAGAACCGAATTGACTTAATTTGTAAAAAAAAGCTTTATTTATATTTTTTAGTTAATTATTTCTTTAAAAATGGTTATTTTTTCTTCAGTGTAACTGTGTCACGCAGTACTGTTGCCTTTGGGGCGGTAAGTGGTTAATGCCACTTGCCCACTGGCCATTTGTGGGCTGGTCTTGGACCTGGTAACATTTACCCCGAAAGGATATGCAGAGTTGACTCGCACACACACGCACACTCACTGCCATAACCCACAAACACAAACACAAGCACACATCCTCATGCGTGCCATTACCTAGCAGGAAGTGGCTGTACCTGTCTCACTCTTTCCCGTTTGCTTCCCCACTCTGCGGTCACGTATTCATTATCATTATCTTAATGAAGCGTTATGTAAGGTGCATTATAATTATGGATTTTTTTTCGGTCGGATTGCCGGCTAATGATGGACACTTTGGGTCCTTGCCCTTGCTACTCCGTCTTCCTTTTCGACTGCGGCAAGAAAGTCAATAAAGTGGAAGTCATTAAAAGAGCTTTACATCGCAAAGGAGGCGACGTCTCCGCCCACAATTGTTCTTCAATTTTTATTTTTCGGTAAAATTTTCGCTGTGGGAAATCTGCGAGCCATCACGGCGGTCAAAGGCTTTTCATTTCGACCATTAAAATGTCAGTCATATAAAAAAGATACCCTTCCCTCAATGGCAGTAAATACATATTGAATGGTACACTCGACAAACGAGTGTCCTTTCGCCTTTCCAAGTGTGGGTGAGTGTGTGTGGAACCCTGTGAACATATTTTGTCCGGCACATTTGGTGAACAATTAAAATTAAAATTTCATTCGCATCGCTGTGGGGGGTTGGGAAAATGTTTGACAAGCCTGACACACAAATAACGACAACGACTCATCCTATGACCGTCCCATATCCTTGTTAAAGGCATCAGATTTCCATGTGTATGCGTGTGCTTCATATGGAGTGCATTTCAAGTATTTTGGTATTCCATTTAAATTTTTAATAATTTTCAAAAATTGATGAGTGGCAGACAAGCCAAGCCGAACAATGGTTACCCCATCGTTTGTCCTAGAAAGCTTTTGATTTGATTTATTGTGATGAGTTAAGTCCTGGGAGAAACTTTTGTGTCCCATAAAATAAATTTTGTTAGCTCTGCCCGTAAAAAGCTCTCCAAGGCTCACACAAAGATGCCATCAGCAGAATGGAAGTTGTGGAAAGGATGAATAGTTGCTCCGGCTGGACTCACAAAATTTTATCTTCTGTTGAGTTTGATAAATAATTAAAATTATTTTTGACATAGTTGTGGTCGCAAAGAACAACCAGGACTCTCCTAACCATTGCGGAATGTATCTGGTACCCTCTATCCACTACGATTTGTCAATTTCCAAAATTTTACTTATGCAAGATGTCGGGCAGGCGAGAGACTTTTATTATAGGCGAAAAACTGTCAGGGACAGAAGCAGGAACTGTCAAGTGACAAGCGGCTCAGACGTCAATCAAACTCCCTCCAAAAAGTACCGAAACGAGCACTGCCTCCTCCGTTGTCAGGCAATTTTTACTTTCATGGCCAAAACTCCGCCTCGAAACGCGAGCTAACAAAACAAAAGTTTAACTTGAGACCCGGCAGATCCTTTAAGTGTCAGTAAATGGAAAAACGGGTTAAGGGGTCGCGGCGAGGGATTTATGGAAATTCAATCGCCAGTCGTCGTTTCCCGGCAACCATGCGCCTTCCACCATCCTGTTTTCCTCTGCTCTTTTCCCGCTGCGCTGTTGTCTAATGAAAATTCAATTCAATTGGAAATTGCTTAAAGAGAAATTGATTTTCACTTTGAAGTTTGCCACCACTGGCGATGTCTGCCGCTGACAGCGCGAAAAGTCTTTAATAACCAAAAAAAAAAACATGCTTCTAGAAATATTATCATTGCCGATAAGACGGATTCAAGTTTTTATATTTTTTATGGATTTTTGACTAAGAAATTTAAAAATTTTTTGTCCTGAACAGACGGTTTTATGATGCACCGCAAATGACAATGAAATGACGCAAATTATCCGATTATTTAGCGGATTACCTTCAACGATTTGTGGATAGATTCTCCACAAGTCTGCATTGATATCCAGAAACAAAATGTTTTAAAATTTTGTTGTTAATTTATCTGGAGGGTCTCCTTTCAAATGCGGAAAATCCATGGGAATGACAATTGACATTGCAATGTGACCCACTCCGAAACCTATAACTTTGCCAATACTTATCCGATTATTGTGCGGAATACCTCAAACGATTTGTGGATAGAGTCTCCATAAAGCTGCATCAAAAGCCAGGAACGAAATATGTTTTAATTTTTTGTCGAATTTTCTGGGGGATCCCCTTCAAAATGTTTACAAGAAAGGGAAGGCCATTATGACCCACTCCAAAGGCTAGATCTTTGCCAATATTTATCCGATTATTGAAAGGAATATCTCAAAATCCAGGAATTACATACCTTTTCGATTTTTTATCCCCTTCAAAATGCGGAATGAAACACTATAGTTATTATTATTAAAGTTGCTTAGATATTTTATATTTTATTGTGTCCCAAAGTGAACAAAAATAAAAATCTGTGTCAGTGTTTTGGTGACATCCTGGCTGGAATGTCCTTGCTGGAGTGGGGTGCGTGGCCATTATCCATTATAATTTATGCAATTAGCTCGATTAACAGGTTTCTCTCGTTATTTATGCCAAGCGATGGACAGCATTGGGGATAAAAGAGATGGAGAGAGTTGGGGATGGGCTCTGGCTAGTGGGGAAGCGAGAGAAAAGTTTGGAAAATGACAGAGACAGCGAAAGAGACAAAGCGATGTATGCCAAGTAAATTTGCATAGTCTGACCTGAACTAGCTGAGCCACTGTAACAATGAAGCCACTCATCCCCAACCGCCCTCCATCCAGCACCCCCAGGCAATTCCAGGCAACCTAAGCCAAACACCCACCACCCCATAATTAGATCGATATGCGTAGGTCCTGTTACTGTGATTGCTCTTCTAATTACCGCAATTGCGGCACTTGAAGCGTCGGCTTTAATTGAAATCTTCATTTCGGAGAAGTGGAAAATTTTTATACAAATTAAGTAAGCCTCGATGTTAGGGTGTCGGTTGTTGGTCGACGTGGTGGGGGGCTATTGGGTGGTTGGTAGTAGCTGCCTTGGTAACGGCCTAACGATTTATTGTTGGTAGTACCCAAACAAGGAGCCACGTTCTCTCCACACTGGGGATAACATCTAGCTAGTAGCTATCATATTGATAATTTGATTTATCACAGTTTGTCAAAAAAAAAGAGTTTGTTACAAAATCAAGACCTCTTCCAACATTTAGATTATTTTATAAGAGTTAACATATTTAATTTTCAAAGTGTACAGCTCTCTCACTATTTCTCTCGCCGTTTCCACTGCTGGAAACGAGGGCTAGCCACGAAGGCCGTACCCAGGAGGTGCTAGCCCTGCGGCTTAGCTTGGCAGCTTAGCCTTTCGAGCCAAGGACCTGCGGCTGGCACGCAAAAAAAAATTCCAAAGCTCCAGCCCATTGCTAGGATACGAGCCGAACTGGGGGAGGCCAAAACAAAAACACGCATCGTCCTGGCACGCCAGTTGGCAGTTGGACTCAGTGGCAAATGGCAGCAGGCGCAACAGCAACTTTCCCATAGCAGTTGCACCCAAACCTACACTATTAGCTCCCAACGAATACACATAAAAATTACCAATAATGAACCGAGGGGGAAAAACACTAAAAAACATGGTGACATAAGATCGAGTGGTACGATGTCGTTGGGTCAGAAGATCTACAAAATCAAGAGTTTTACGCAGAAGTTTTGCCAGAAATTTGCGGTCAAATTGCGCAAGGACTCGCTGCCAGGACACGCGAGGTGAGAATGGAAACAGTACACTAATGTTAAAGTTAAGAATACAAGTGAAAAAAAGGAAAAGCAAAGCTTTATGAAAGAATAGGAAAGTGAGGAGAAAATTAAATAAGGAGCAGTGTGGACATAAAACCCAAAAGCTTTTTTTAAAACATCAACCAATGCCAAGAACAATAAGTAATTATTTCATAAATAAAAACTCAAAGTAGTGACAAGCTCAGAAAATAATTAATTGCTACTCAATTACAAAGAAGTGACAGTTATTATTTCGCATTAAAATATTCCCTCAAGCCAAAGTGGACAGTTAAAATAAATAAATATTATTGGCATATCCTGCCCAGTGTCCTGTCTGTCTTATGTGCCGCAGTGTGTACGAGTGTGTGTCTGTATGTCCTGTGTATCCTTGTCCCAAGAGCGAGTGTGTGAGTTGGCTTATTGACGACGCGTAGCCAAGGCAACGCAAGTTGGCCCCAACAAACAGAGGCGGCGAAAAACGGGGCCCAGGCATATAATTATAGACCACCAGAGTCCCCGCCCTCAAGCCCAACAATATATATGTATTTATGTACCGTGTATATGTGTGCCATATACTGCTATGTGGCGTGCCTGGCAGGCACTGGCAACACTTTACTCGATTTGTTTAATCGATTTTTCTGCCAGTACCTCGAGGCTCGAGCAACGGAAAGAAAAGCCAGCTAGGCCAGGCCAAGAGGCAAGGCAACGGGGGGAATGGCTCAAAATTGCCTTTATTATAGATAAATATGAACGATTTAGTGCCGCACGCAACTTAAACTGACCAAAAAGAATTGGGAGGAAAACTCCTTCGATGGAGAAAGGGGAACGCAATGAAGACGCAGCCATCCGAGCGTCATAAAAAATACACGCCGCTAGCCTTCAGATTTATGGGCGCCAGCCATCCCACTCTTTGGATTTTTTCCTCTTTAAACGAGTATTAATAATGAAAATAATAATAAAACAACTGGCTAAGTAGAAGCAGCAACAAATTACCATAATTACCTTGCTCAACAGTGCTACCTAAAATTTCTGCCCAAAAAGTTAAAAATATTTTCTTGTTTGAGGTTACATACTTTTTATACAATTTTCATATTATTTTACTGATTGTTTTACAAATGGTATAACCAAATCATTAGGCTTATTCAGTAATCCGAGAATTGTATAAAGAACTCAGTCGATTTTCCTCAATTTTCCTCTGCCCATCACTTTATTTTTAGCCCATTCAGTTGGCCATTTGCAGCTCGGCACGAAGGCAGGTTAAAAGCTTTGACTACTTTTCCACTATAGTTTTCATTGTAGTTGTTTTTTTCTGTAAAAAATAAAAAATGTGGAGGGCAGGCGAGCGGATGCTAAGGGGGGCCATAAAAGTGCAAAAATATTTTTCTTCTTCATGGTCTGTCAATTAACACGCCTTTTGCATTTATTCAATATAAATCGAGTGCCTGGGCTGGCCGAGAGCAAAAAAGCTGTGATGCGGGCGAATACTTACGGACCGAATGCAATGGTCTACCTGTAAATAAAATTAGTTTTCAAGAATGACGAAACTCTCGAATACACTCAAATAAGCCAGAGACTGGCATCAAAAGCTTGACTGAAACTGGACTCTGTCGGAGAACTACGGCTGCGGAAACTCAGAGACTGAAACTGAGGGGGGCAGACCGAGGCAGAAGTAGAAAAAAGAAGAACTGCACTCCACTTTCCTTGCAGTTCATTACACATTGGCGCAATCCTTAAAAATACTCGCCTGGAACACATGGAAGCCATTTTCATAAAAGTAAACGAAATGCAAGGCTGGGGAAAGGTGTAGCCACCCGATGCTCACTCCCTTATCCTTTTTTCTACGCCTTCCCCCTCATCGAAAGCCGGAATCTTTGTATTTAAAGCGAGGCTTACAGTGCCGACAAGGAGCCTGTTCCCAGGCGAAAATGCACGTAACGGTCTTCGTCTGTGAAATTGTTATAGAGTTTCACATAAAAATCGACTCTGCAGCAGGGACAAGTTCCCGCACTTTACTATTTTCCAGCATTTTTCCTCACTCTGTCGGTCTCCTTTTCGCCGAATGTCTGTTTGTCTGTGAAAAGCTACAGACGGCTTAAACAAGCTGCCGACTATTAGCAGTGTGACTACACAGAGAAAATTTTAGTTCTTACATACATTTTGTTGAATTTCATGGAGCTTAAGGATTTAACTATGGGGTTCCATGTCTGAAACTAAAATTGGAAAAGTAATTCAGAAATTTCTTCAGTGTATGCGCCACAGAGAGTAGGCTAGATGCAGGACTAGAAGCCTAGGCACATCATACAATTTCCTTTCAACGGCAGCAAAGGGAAAACGAAATGCGAACTGCGAAATACGAAAATATAATACACGTGCAACGTGCCGGGGCGCCAACTTGCAACGTTCCACATATTCAGAGCCGGAGACTACTACTCTAGATTTCGTGACTCGTTGCTGAAGACTTCAATTTGTAGCACACTCTGTGCCATATCTCTCTCTGTGAGTGTGCGAGTGTGCCACGTGCAATCAGCGGGCAGGCCCAAGGAGCTGCCTCGACTTGGAGTGGAGTGGCACAGGGATACCGAGGCAATCCTGGATGACGCCGCTGCATCGCAAATTGGGTCAAAGTTCAAATGGAGAACGAAGTAGAAGCTGAAAATCACCAGCCGCAGGAAGAACCTGCCTTTCTTTCTGGATGAATGAGCCAACCGAACCAACCGAACCAGCCAAACCTCTCTACAAGCCAGCCCAACTTTACTCGGGACTGGGCCAAGAGCCAGGCGAGCCTTTTTATTGGCAACGAAACTTAAACATTTCCATTTTAATTGACAGCCTGTCGATTGGTTGCTTTGAACCATGTCCCGAAAATATAAGGAGTGAACCCGTTGAGTTCCAGACTCAAAGGCAGTTAGATGGGAATTTATGGTTTAAGAACCCTTTAAGAAAATCTTAAAACTATAAAAGAAATGTAAGAAGATTGAAGTCTTAGATGCTACTACTGTGCAGTCCTTTTTTAAAAGTTTACGTCTTGCAGAATAAAACAAAAACATTTGATAGACCACAAGCTGGGCACAAATTATTCGAAAAACTCTCCATTCCAGAGTTTAATAGGACATTCAGGAAGAAAGAGTCTTCTTATGTTTCTTTAAGGATAATAAATGTTCTTCCCCAAAGCCGAATGTAAAGCTTGCATTGAGTTTTTGTTATCAACCATCAGCAAGCTGCACTTTCAACTGATCCCCAGCATCTGGTTTATGGCCCGCACAAATACCCACACCTTATCTGACTGACACTTTGGGATTATCTCTTAGATGCCTCTGAAAGAACCCCCATTCTCCGGGAGCTCTAAAGCAGCCCACACAATAACCGTAACAATCTATTGCCATTGACAGGCAGGCCGCTCGGCTCGCAGCACTTTGGCAACAACTTTTGACTATTCTATTAGATTCACTTTGCATGCAGTGCGCTGCAGCTCCTGAAACACTCCTGGAAATCCCCTCTTGCCACCCTTGGATTTTACTGGCCATTTTGTGTTGGGCTTTTGTTTACTTGTTGGTCGGCAACGATGTGCGACAAAATTGGCTTAGAAAATTGAGCCTCCACTGCCCAGAGATCCAGGGAACAACGAGGATGGGGCTGAAAAAAAGGGACAAGGTTTTTTGGATACTTTAAAATGCAACTCTGTGTTTGGCACTACGGCGGATTTCATTAAACATTTAAACAACATATGCTAAAATTTCCACCGAGAGCGGACAACAAAAACCCAAAAGTTGTTGTTTTTTTGGAAAACAGGAGGGCACATGACTAAAAAGCAAAATGACCAAGTGTAAAAATGACATTGTTCTCACACGGCCAGGACAAAAAGCGAGGGGGCCAGGAGAAGGATAGGAGGGACTGCCACTCCTGTGGGGGCTCTTTGGCTGTGGTGCTGTAATAAAATTAGTTTGGAAGCCGAGGCTTCATGTTTTCTCTTTTTGTTTTAGGAATTCCCTTCCAGTTGTTGTCCCTGCTGTTTCTAGATGGTCTACTTTTTCGCTACCAGAGGAGGCCCTTTGTTAGCTGCAATTTCGGGTGGGGAGTCCGCGGGAGTCTCCGGACTTGCTGCATAAATGCAGTTGGTAGCGTCAAAGGAATTTACGAGGAGCCAACTGAAATATACAGCAACAGCGGGGAGGCCAGTATTATTGTTCAGGACGCAAATTGATTTCACTAGTCGCTAATTGAAAATGTAATTTGCTAAAAACTAAATGGACAATGGTTGTTAGGTTGTGTGAGAAAAAATCGCAATTAGTCCGCGGCCAAAGACTCCCACCGAGTATCGAAACCTGGACAAATAAAGTTTAGCAAAAGATGCTACACGTTCTCGCCGTCCTGCCAGCACAAAAAAAATACAAAATTAATCAAACTGAGGTGCGGTGGTGGCCAAGTAGAGTGGATTCTTGCAGAGTGCACTAAAAATCAAAGATAAATTGAATTGGAGTTCGGGCGAAAGCATTTTTCAATTGCAATGCAATAAATCTAAAGGCTAAAAGGAAGGGAATTGGATGGCAAAGAAGCGGAATATATAGAAGTCCTTTAAGGGAAGGATGCTCTTCATCCATTTCAAAAAATTAAAAGATTCTATCAAAGTATAAAATTCTCAAAAATAACTTTCTTTTCTACTCTTTTCAGGTTTTAATTGGGCCATCAACGAAAGCGCCAAGAAATTTGTATAACTTTTGTTTGCCAAGGTGAGTACCCGAATAATGATTAACTTACCGACCAGTTGGGTGCTTAGTGGTAAGATCATCTAAGCCATATTATATTATTATGTATGCAAAGCCCCGGGGCAATCAATTAATTGAAACGCATTTCGAGCTCCATCAAAACAATTGCAAATTCATTTGCATTGAATGTGCTGTAATTATAGGCAGCAGTGCGGCTTTTGCACTTTTGATAGCTTAATCTCGAATGCAAATGTGCAGGAAGTAATAAATTACGCAAATAGATAAGTG